ATATGGGCCCACAGAGCACTCTAACTACAGGGTTAGGACCGGGAGGGCTGTTAGTTCTGCACTCTTTTCAAATGCGATGGAGAAGCGGATGCAGATGAACTGCTGAATATTTCAGCTTCTTTGGGATGACAGATGGATGCAAGTACAATGGAAGACAGTGACTTTTTGGCTCTTCATCTTCTCAGAAAAAATAAAGCATCAGAGCACCAAAATTTAGATGGCATATCTGAACACAGACAGAAGAACAAACGGAAAAACAGTAAGGGGAAGTCTAAGGACATTATTCACTTGTTACCTCCTCTCAGTAAAGAGCCAGGCAGGTTTATACATCAAATCACATGAGTGGATCTTTATATTTATTTTCCAAAATGCAAATCCTAAAGAAGGTATTATAGGTTTATATTGCACTATGTGACAGATCAGTGTTTGGCTTTATGTATCAGCTTCTAACTACAAGGTGCATTTTGATTTTAAAAGAGTGGGTGAGATTGTAAAACTATGCCATATCATTTGCTGTGTTTTTAACTGGGATTCCTACAGCACTGTCAGTGGTTACAGCAGGATAATCACCTGTTCAAATGAGAATATCTGTAAACATTAGGTAGCATAATAACTTACGGAATTCATTCTGCCAGGTAAGCTGATGCTTATGGAACAGCTCACCTAATGAGGAAATTAGTTACCCAAGCGGTCATCTGAAAAGATAACTTAGAGAAAGGCAAAGGGAAGGGAACCATTCTAGACTAAAAGAAAACTAGGTTAAGTAGAAGGTCAGGAGACATAGATAAAATTTTAAAGGATTTTTAGAGACACAAAAAAATGAAATAAAGATCTGCATTAAGAATTTTGCTGGTTTTCATAGATTTATACATCACTTCTGCTACCTGGGACTGTGAGCATTTAAATTTGCTAATATGCTCCATTGTTATTTGCTAGTACTGTTACGCAGTTTCAAAGATAATAGTAAAGTAGAGGGTGCAAAGTTTGGAAATGACTATGAGAGTATTCAGTAGCTATTATGAAAAATTTAGAAAGCAAGGACTAATGACAGTGCCTAAGCAACCAGACGGTGTAACTCCCACTGTCAGATGTGGTATCAGACACTTGTTTGCATCTGGAACGCATGTCTAGAGGCCCAGAGCCACAGACACAACGCTTCTGTGCAGATTCGGCAAGGCAAGAACTTGTGGGACGCAAGGTCTAGAATGGATACAGCAGTTTAGTGAGCATCTGCTGGGAGGGAAGCTAATCCAGGATTATAACAGACTGTTCAAATTATACATGCTTTGAGAGCAACGGAACACATTTGGAGCAGGTGTTTTCATGATGAAATTTTCTTTATGCACATATTCGTAGCAAATGTTACAAAGAAACTAGTCTGTGTGACAGAAGATGAAAGAGAGCATGGGAAATTCAAAAATAAAGCATAGTGATATTCATCTTCCTCTGAAAATACTTACATTTTTCAAATGGTAATTTTTTGTTTCTGCACAGCTCTTAAAACACCACAGAACAAACACACAATTGAACTGCCAAGCAGATTTAACTGAAGATTTAATTGATTCAAAATAAAATTTGCTGACTTCTTGCCACTGTATTCTAGTTATGGAGTAGCAGTTTCTCAATGACCCCACATACAAACAGCTCCTATGCTTTGACTAATAATGTGGAATAGCTTTTCCTTAAGAAATTTGTGCATGCATAATCCTTATACCCATCAAAAACTCTATCTGTAAGCTTTCATGATGTAAGTTAGCTGACCAGCAGCATTTTGAATATGAGCAGCAGTGTCATTTCAAAGGTTTTGTAAGGATTTTTTATTAAATTCAATTAGATCTGCTGCCTAATAGAAATATTTAGCCCTGAAGAGGGCAGTAAGAATTACCCTTGTCCACATGATCTCAGCAGGAAGCCTAAAAGCTCTCTTCTGTAGAGGTGAAAAGGTTTCCAAACACCTAACTCTTCATGCCAATTAATAGGAAAAAATACCACGTAAGATAGCTAGTATCAAACACTGGGTTGCCAATGTACTTTTACATAAAATACTAAATACTGAAAATAATACTTTGAACAAATATGCTATAAAACTGAGGCAAACTGTGCTTTCTAGAGTTTGATATCAGACATTATATAACCGTTATTCTTATGTGCACAGAGTAAATATTTAAATGTATATTAAGATGAATTGTATTGTATTGATTCAGCCTATGTTGCAACCCAACTCTATTCTTTCTGAGATAATTTCCAAACTGATGAATAACACTAAGTATCTGCAAGACAATGACACAGAATTACTTTCAGGTGAATTACAATAAATGTTGAAGTTAAAGACACATAAAGTTACAAAAGTATACTTTTAAAAAATCAAGAGCTATTGAAATGTTTTAAGCACAGATACGATGTCTGAAAGTACTGATTGCTATATGGTCAAAAACTGGTGAACATATTTGTCGATTTAGATTATGAACCTGCAAATTGTGGTGCTGGATAGAACTCCTCTAAAGTCAGTACAGAACTCTGCAGATGCAATGAATTGCAGGATTGAAGCCATCAGTGGATTCTTGACCCTATGAAATCCCACAGAGTTTCGACACTAATTACGGATTTCACCCATTATTTTCCTTGATATGATAAGCAGTAAGATATTAGTTTATTCATATCTGAAAAGAAATGCCGAAGGGATTTTACAGGATGGTTAACATATGACCACTACATTAAGGCTTTAAAACAAATGTAACTCATTTGCTCAGAGATGACAGATTAATAAATTGTTCCACCTCATTACCCCATAATAACTGATGGTATAGCTTAGAGGAACGCTGACAAATGATACAGGCCAAAGGTCAGTGCTCCTTTCTCAAAAACAAGATTTCAGAGCTTAATACAAATATAAATGATTCAGTAGATTTTTAAAAAGTCAGTGAAAATATTAGTGTGGGTTCAAGCAATACTCGTCAATGTGAAAATTAGAAAGCAAGCTATACGGCATTGTGCCAGTGTGTAAGAAGCGGAAAATGAAACTGATAGTTAAACTGTGTTTCAAACTTCTCTTTGTGCTGGCTATCACCCTTGGCAGTGTTGGTGCTGCCAGATATCACAGCTTGCAAAGGAAGTTCTATGTTCTCAATCGCTTTGAAGTATATTGCGTAGCACTACTGGTCATCGTTCCATAACTGAGATACTCCAGGACTACCAATAATTATGAAAGGATATTTCTTAATTCTCCTCTTTGAGTTAGAACATCAATATAAAATCACAGAGAAGATGAACAGTAGATTAGTTACTGGTGTAACTACAAAACTGTGACTCAAGATGAAGACTATCTGAGCTAAGCTTTAAAATAATACCTGATTTTAAACTGCTAAACTTTTGGGTTTTGTAATGTCCCTGCTAATCTTTGAGCCTGTAGGGTTAACTTGGGTCATATTTGCAAGCTTTTATCAACAACTGCAAAAATCAAAAAAAAAAGATTAAAAAAACAAAACAAAACACTTGCCTCCAAGAGTTAAGAAAAAGGTGACTATAACGAAAGCTGTGGTGAAATTATGGGACCTGGAAGCTATGAAATAAAACTTTTAATACAAAAAGATGAGACTAGCTACAAACATGCTGAGGTTTACATATTGATTAGTCTTGGCAGGGAAGCTTGTAAAAAGAGAACACAATATGGAAGAGGTTGTGGCTCAAAAGCATTCTTTTTTATGGTAACAGTCATGCCTTTCCTATGCAGGCATGTGTAAATTTCAATGGATAATGTGTAGAATAGAGCAGGGCAGAGAAAACTACATAACTAAGCAAAAACGCTATTTCTTTTTTTGAATTTCTTCTGTATCTGTGGAAATAGGAAAAGATTTGCTAAACTGTGAAGTGGACAATTTTAAAATGAATGCAAAGTCAGCTGAGTACAACTTGAAGAGCATCACTGCAGCCAGGCCAAAAGCAGAAAACGCTCTCATGCAATGTTATGCATGGAACTATAAAGTTCCACAAATTTGTTTCCAGATTCTCAAATAAAAATCACCTAAACTATCAGGTCGAGAATGTCTGGTGTCTCAGGCCTGAGAAGTAACACAAAACAACCTCAAAGCAGCCAGAAATAGTGAGTGAGGAATTCCCCCTCCGAAGCAAAACTGTACTGGTGTAAAGCTCTGAGAGACACTGCCAAATGTGTCCCTCCTGCCTGCAACAGGGTAGAAACAGTGATGTAGGATGTTCTGTTGGGTGTAAAGAAAAGAGGGAGCATGGAAGAGAAGAGTTCATCTGCACTGAAAATTATTAAAAATTTATTATTTTTAAAAATTATTGCTTTGATAATTATCAAAAATAATCAGCATTAGGCTACAGATCAAAGCTGTTTTTCCTCAGCTTTAACATACACAGAGATCTATAAAGTCAGGATCGAGAGGCTGAGACAGCTTTCTAATGGCCTTGCTCTCCTGCGGAGTCCAAATGGAGTTCAGATACAGTGAAATTGGTCCTTACTTTTTAGGCATTTTTCATGTTGATTAACATGGCCAGGATGCCTGCAACAGTCCATTATCAGGTTATACTCTATTTTGCTGCTATAAAACATATAAAGTAGATTAAAAATGAAGGTTTCTGTAAATAAAGATGCCCTGAAACAAACATGTTCATTTTGGCAGTAAATACCTCTGCTACTAAAGCAGCTAGCATTTTTAAATTTTGCTTTCTGTACCATTTTCAAATAAGCTACTGAATATTTTAGGCAGGAAGAGTTGCTCTTGAAAAAGAATTATAGTAAGTAAGGAACACTGTAACAGTCGACCTCAGTCGTGTCAGAGATTAATTCATAACATTCATAATGTCATTTGCACTGAAAAATTACTCAAATTTCACCTCTCTTTTTCCTAAGGTCTTCAATTCTTCCTCTGAAAAGGAATGTTATTTTTGCTGTTCAATTACATTTTAACCATTCAGTCAGATTAAGCTATATATAAACGTATGGACTCTTGTTTCAGATTCCCTTACTCAGCTTTTACCTGATGAAGAGAAGAGCTGTGTTCCAAGGTCACAACTGATTAATCTTGACCTATGAACTGCGAAAGTGCAAAGTCTTAATATAAATGTACACGGTAAAGTGGAACATATTCTGTATCCATGACAAATAATGAACTGAATTTTTCTGACTTTATTCTTTAGTTACTAATTAAGCACTTAAAATACAAGATCTGTTAACTCTGCAGTGCTCTTTGGATAAATTATGTGCCTATAAAAAGAGTGATATCATTTGGCCCTATGACAAAGTGTGATGGAGGTATCCATCAGGTTTTGTGCAGAAGATTTCTTGCTAAACTTGAGGATGTTCAGGATGGGGCTGCCAGAGGCATGCTTCAGGCTTGTGAAGAGTGTAATATTTACAAATGTACATGTTTAAAATTTCCAATATTATTCTGGTAATATTTTTATATTACTGGCACTACGAAAAAAATCTTTATATTTCTGGTAATATTTTTTAGAAATTAAGCCACAAGGTAGAGGCAAGCGAAATAGAGTTATTTAAATAGATATTGTCAACACAAATTAAATCAATACATATTAAATTTTATAGTAAATAATAAGTTAGTGTAAATAAACTAAATAAAGAGTAGGTTTGAGGGGAAAAAATCCTATTTTCTTCCTATTTCCAGTACATGAAGTTAAGCTTCTTCAAAGAAAATACCTGTTTTTAGGTCCATTAATACGCACTTTTGAAATATGTATCTCCTGCACCTTTCTGTAAGAAAGACTAGTCTAATTAAATGAGTGAAAGTCTGTGCTATTGAGATGCTCATGATGTGGAAATATAGTTGTTTCAAATGTCTGTTACAACTAAGATGATCAAACACTGGTTCACACTTCACGTGTCTTTAGTACAAAGCTTCACTTACGCTAATTTCCATGATGCAATGCCAATGGTTCCAGCAGAATTACCGAGGGGAGAACCAGGCCTCCAAAATCAAAGACAGATCTGAAAAAAGAGAAATGGCAATGCCACTACAATTCTGCTATGAACATTATAAACAAAAAAAGACAACATCAATGTTCAAGTCATTCTTGCAAACCAGATTTCTCAGCATGTGTGCAGTCTACTGGCAGTCTCTTAGAAGAAAAAGAAATATATCACAAAATGTGATTTACTTCACCTGGCACTTTTAAGTTAACCACAAGACAGTAAAGTCAAAATAAATTTAAAAGGTGCTTCTTGCAGTTGTAACCAGCACTAGAAACATTTCCAGTTGTGACAATGCAATTAGTTGTGCTAAAGACACTGTGAAATCATTTTCAGAATATATTACGGTAGCCTTACAGAGATGTTTTCAGCAAGTAGATACTATATTTCCTGCAGATCTGAGGCACAACACAAGTGAAAACATAATAAATCTATTTTTAACTTTAATCATTCATTTTAAAGTACTGACAGGCACATTAGGCACTCCTGTCTAAAATTAGTTCTGTTCATGCTGGAAGCAACCATTTATTCATCAAGCTATTTGTATGCTTAATGTTAGAAGACTTCTTCTGGAACACATCACAGCTTCTGTGCTACATTTTTCTGAAATACCTTGTTTAGCTGCTGGAACACAGTCTTACTATTATATTTAATGTCTTAAAGCTCCTTGGATGACACATCATTAAAATCTCCTTTAACCTGCAGAGAACTCTGGGAAAGAATATGCAAATCAACTCTCAAAAAACTAAGCAGTAAGATAAAAGGACGGTTGGTTTAGCAAAGGCCAAACTTTGACCCTGTAATTTCATTTTACAATCAGACAGAGTGCTGCAATTGTCACAACCGGCAACAGATTCTTCACCTGTGATGTACCCATGCCTGCAGAAATCATTGTTTACCAAGGTTCTTCCGATTTCTGTCTTTTGGCCCAAGGCCAGCTACCTCAATGACAAATAAAAACGTCCACTGTGCATAAACCCTGATCAGATGCTTTACAGGCACAGCGAAACCCTAGCCCTGTTTATGACATTGCACTACTAATTCTATTGGTCACATTTTCTTAATATAGTTCCCTTTTAAAGGTTTTGGGGGATGCATAGGCATATGAAATAATCTTTCACATTTTAAACCAGCACTGTTGTTGCAACCCTACATATTCCTCAGTGCCTAGCCCTCGGAATGGGCCATTATTTTTGCTAACAGATCGCTTAACAAGGTTTGGCTCACAGTGGCACGGAAGCTGGCCTTTCCTCCCGCGTTGAGGATGTCACTCTTTTTGAACTTTGCAGTAGCTATTGGTAGGGATTCATAACAATTCAGTGTCATGCTTCCAAAATGAGCTGACATTAAGCATCTGTAGTCTAATTTGTTCCTTATACACATTTGTTCCTAGGAAATATAAAAAATTCTTAACTGACACATAATAAATAGCTATCCTGAAAAGAACCAGAAATCCAAAGAGAAATGATTTTCATTCTCAGCTACTGACTTCACTTGAACTACAGTTATTCAAACCTTCCAAGCATTCTGACCCAAACATGTCCCTCCATTTTTTGCTCTTAGAACTTATCCTCTGTAACAAATAGCTGTCTATCAATAGAGGGCTCCACCAGTGTTCAATATGGGTAGGTCCTCAGCAAGACTCATTCAGGAGGACAAGATAAGATTTTAAACCAGGTGTCAATTTGTGCCAAAAGCTGCCTACCACCATAGGACAACCTACAGCAATGCCTCCTTCAGATACTGTGCAAGTTTCGTTGCCCTATTTCCAGAAGAAAAAGTGCAAAGGTGACCAGTTTTGCCAGTCACAAAATCTTGAAAGGGAAATATTACATGTATTTATCACAAATTCCGTATGATCTAAATCAACACAAGCTCACCATTTTTGGATGCTCCTTTTGAAATGATTGTTACTATTCCTGTGGTTAGGTTGATCAGCCACTGGATGTCACTATTAGTCTAAATACACAAACCCAAACAGCATTTGTTTGGCATTAGAAAATGTTTAAAGAAGACAGAATAAATCTGAGCATAACAAGTGGCAATAACATTTTCAGATGCTGAATGCAGGAGTCTCGTTTGCTCAAGTCTCATGTTTCTTTCAAGCATGCTGTACGAGAAATGCCTGAATTCTTTGGTGATTCCTTTATAAATCCAACAGTAACTTGTATGTTCTCAATTTCACTGCTCTCCTGATAGTAAGGATCATTTCCTGTGCCATGTGCTAATTTCTAAGTAGAATCCACATGCATAATCTCCAAATTGTCCATAATCTCTGCAAATTGTTCCCAAGTTATCATCAACTAAACTGCTGTTGTTTTTTAAGGACAAAAGTACCTTTTTTCACACCTATGGCATAGCTCACTGTCTCCCTCCCATGGACAGCCCATATAAAGAAGTTTCTGAGCTGTCTTTCAGTTCAGACAACAGATGCCTTGAGGTCTAAAATTCCAAATCTGATTCTGACTGATCAAAATGTGCCCAGAGTCACAACTACACAAAATGTCCTAAATCAAGAGGAGGTACTGCCAACTGTAAAAGTAATAGCAATTACTTTTACTTTTTAAAAATAACAATTTTTCAACATGTTTCTTAAATCTAAAATACAAATCCATTTAATTATCCAATTTGACATTATATCAAATCATTTCATTAGAAGCTCTTTATCTCGAAGAACAGCATCCTCTAAAAGCAGTGCTCACAAAAGGGGCTCCAAGCCAGGGCAGGAGAACGCTGCTGCAAGGTCACCTTTCAGATTTCATTGTAGTGATATACTGGGTTTCAGAATCACCCCTGAGAGCCGGCTTACTGGCCGTTCAATTCGCTCTGCCGTGAATGGCCAGGTGGCAGCTCAATGCCTTGTGCTCCAGGAAAGACTGAGTATCAAACAGATCTTTCGCAACAGCTCAGAGTAGATCAATTACATCTCTGCTTAGCCAGAGAAGTGCACAATATACTTCTAACACTGAAGTAAGCAGAGTTTGGCACTTGACAGTCAATTAGATAGAATAATAGGAGGCCTCATAATATCGATACATCAAGGAGGAGAAAAAAAGTATTTGAAGAAAAAATATTTCAAACAATTTTATTAAAAAGGATAACCAATTTGTTTTACAATTATTTAAAATAATTATTTAAAATAATTAGATTGTTCTGAACCAATACTGCAATTTTAATACAGGTATAATCACTGCAAATGACATTAGGAGCTTGTCTACGGGCAAATTGCATTGCTGTAACTATAATGGGATTGTTAAAGCTGAGTAAATCCCCAAGTCCAGATATGGTTGACATGGCAGAAAAGGAAGGGGAAAGAGGTTATACCAGAAAATCTAACCTATTTTGGGCTTATATTGGCATAACTATTTCAGTAAAAAAAACTCCTAACTAAACAAAGTAAGTGGACTTGTATGGAAGCAATGTATACATCAGCCCTAAAACACAAAACTGCAATGGCAGTAATGAAATTTTGCTACATTTAAACTTGAAAGAGAAGCTGAGTGAGTGCTATCGATGTCATATAACAGCGTCCTTCTGCAGGTTGCACAGCAACTTGGGAACAGGGGATCTGCACATATCAAAGCTCAAGTGGGTGGCTTTGCAGTGTTAAGACTGCTGACCTCCTCCAGTTGGAGCTTTGAAGTGTTTCAGTGCTACATAAAATGGCAGACGGCCTGCAGCACCCTAACAGTAATGATTCTCTAGATATGTTGGAGGCTTTTTAACAACAGCTTATAAAACAAATAGAGATATTTCTCTCATTTTGAAAAGGAAAGTCACAGTAATCTCTAATCTGAGAATCCCATAACCATATTTGTTCTCCTCTAATTCCTAAAAAAAAGTGAAAAATAAAAAGCACTACATTAGTTATATTGTGAATTGAAAGCATTTAACCCTAAATAAGGTTTTGTCTTTTTAGTTAGCTGCATAAATCCTGGATGATCCTTAAAAGATTAAAAGCACTCTCTACAGTTTCCTCAGGTGTGCTGTCTCCAGATGCTATTCTGTCAAAATATACAGAATAAGAGTTGTCAATGTTGGTGATAAAGACTACAGTTCTGTATATTAACTAAAAACCTGCTCTGTAGTTAAACCCAAATTTCTCATTCCAGCTCTGTTGTTCTCAGGGCCTGCCCACAGAAAGTCCTACAGCCCAGAAAGGACACACCGTTCTGTGGTGTGTCCTCAGCACGAGTTCCCCATTGCAGCCTAACAGTCTGTCCGTTGCTGCTGCGTGACAGAAAGCCCCATGGACACCCCACCGAGGGGTCCTGCGCGGCGCTGCCTCGAGAGCCGAAGCAGAGAGGCTGGGAGGGCTGAGCTGCACTGCAACGCAGCTTCTCTCTGCTTGCATTAATAGACCTATTGCCATACCTCCTGCTAACCCAGGGAGACCACCGCTCTCGTACGTTCTCGTAACGGTTCCCAGGAAACCCATCCTGATAATACTTCCCCATCCCACAGAAGAAGCAGATGGTTTCTAGTGAAGGTTAGCCAACGCACAAACTAGTGTTTGCACAGCAGGCCACAGTGACATAAAAGCTGCATGTTAAGATTAGATGCTAACCCTTTAGTTAAACGTACAGCAAAAGGTGCACATGAACAGTTCAAACAAAAAGAAATTACAGCACTCAAATAATTCTTAGAATCAAAAATCCCTTTGTTAGCCCTCTGTTTACCTCACTGTAGGAACTGCAGGCATGCTCCGCTCAATCTCTCCTAACCAACCCTCGAGACATGCAAGGTATTCTTGGGTATGGCAAAAGATGTGCAAACCTGAATATCAGCAAATACGTTAACAAAGCAGTGGCCAAGTTTCGGATCAGAATGCTGACATAATGGAAACTCTGTCTACTCTGCGAACATGTCCCCCAAATCAGAGGAAACAGATTTTTGTAATAATTATAAAGAAAACCTTTACAAAAAGATCCTGGTCACTGAAATTAATGGCAGGATTCTTATTTACTTTAGTGGATACAGATAAACTACGTGTACCATGCTCTGTCTCAAAAGCTGAA